ACCATGAAAAGTTTTTCTGTTTAAGGATGGGAGTGACATGATCTTAATAATACATTGGTGGAGTTATTACATAAAAAAGAAGTTAAAGTTGCAGGTGGGAGAAAGAATGATTTCTGAAGCAAGGTTCAGATTGGAGTGGTTCTGTTGTGGGATCCAGAGCAGAGAAGGAGTTCAGCCTGACAACAGAACTGGAGGGAAGGAGAGTAGCTGAGCAGATAAAAGTATGATTTATATGTGGTGAGGGAGATTAATTCCTGAGAGCCTCTGAATTCCCTGTGAAGATTCATCTTGACAGAGAAGCGGCAGGGAGCAGAGATAGTTAGTTTAGAGAGGGACCACAAACTGTGGACCAGCTGCAAAGGGCAACTAGAGCGAGTGCCAATCAGGTAAGAAAAGATTTGAAAAAGAGATTTTATCACAGCCATCAACTGCAGTTGTGTTTATACAAATGACCTTGGGCAGCACTGAGATTTAGGAATGTAAGATGCTGACCCAGGAAATGGCTTTGTCCCTGTTCCTAGTCATTCTAGTGCCTTCTCTTACTAGTACCTGTAATGTCATCCCCTTCTACTTGTAAAATGAGTTTACTCCCACACTAGCCACCTTTATTTATTTTTTAAATCAAATTTTCCTTTGGTGTGGTTCCTTCTCACTAGTTTAATTCAGACATTAATAACTCCCATTTTTTAAAAAAAGTTTCCATGGCTCCCTCCAGCTTCCTTTAATCTTCTTTTTGAAAACTTTTTCAAAGAGTTATGTTATATACAGTAAATTTCCTAACCACCCCCATCTTTCTTTTCTCTTGTTATTTTAAATCACAAGTACCTTTCAGACTTATGTATACAATTTTATTTAGAGTGTGGATAGATAATATATGTGCGCATAATCCAAAGGTGTTTAAATACATATAAATGTTTATCTTCTACCCTGCATTATTCCCTGGCATCCATTTCCCTCTCTATAGGCAACCATGGTTATTTTAAAAGTACCTTTTACTATAAGTTTAGAGAGGGACCACAAACTGTGGACCAGCTGCAAAGGGCAACTTTTCTTGGTTCTTTTATAAATGATAACATACCGGGCATACAGCATTGCAAATTTTTCTCCTTGCCTAATATGCTGTGAATATCTTTTTACTCTAATACAAAGAAAGCTGTCTTAATAATTTTAACAGTTGGAAAGCATTCCATTGAATGGATTTGCATGGTTTATTTTGCTTTTTTTCTATTTATAGATATGTTTTGTTTACAATTGTTTGCTTATATATAGAGCTGATTAGAGTATAACTTTGAACATATATTATTTTACCTAAGTACAATTTTATCTGGAAGATAAATTCCTAGGGAAGCAACCACTATTAATTTTTGTTCAAACCTTACTAATCTTTATTCATGACCATTTTGATTAAAATGGCTCTTAACAAGGTTAACACTTTGTACACACATTTACCCCTCAGTAGCATTGGACACAGTTGATCATCAACTGCTTCTTCTTAAAGTGCTTTTTTCTTTTGGCTTTCATGATGTTACAACCCTACTTCACTGACTGCTTCTTCTCAGTTTCCTTTTCTGTCTCCTACTGTCCTCAATATCTATTTTGAACTATTGTAGAATTCTTTTTTTCTCAGCTTGATCTTTTAAATACATTGTCTCCTGAAATTATTTCACAAAATTCCATTGTTCTAAACTCCATTTATGAATTGATGACACACATTTTCATCTTTGACTTTTTTTCCTGCACTCTGTACCAACTATCCCTGAGAAGCTTGAACTTGGATATCTCCTAAGATGCTCAGAACTTAACTACTCCTGCCTGGTCTTCCCATGTCACTTGGTGTCAATTACATCCTTCCATTACCCTGACATAAATCTATACATAAGTCTTCATTCCTTTCCTTCCATCAGCAAACATTAATCCATCATCAAGTTCTGTCACCGTTACCTCCAAATACATATAGCATTCAGTTTCTTCTCACTGTTTTCTATTGGTATCACAGTTATAGTCTAAACTAAGATACTCTAGTAGCTTTCTGATAGCTTTCTTGCATGCCCTTTCATCTTGTAGTAGGTAATCTCCACACAATAGCAAAAGGATCTTGGCAAAAATATTTCCTGCTGGAAGTGTTTTCATGCCTTCCTATATATACAGAAGTCAACAGAATTTCCATCACATGGATTTAAAGGACTTGTGTTACTTCTGAAAAAGGAAGCACCACAAATGAGTTAGATTATCATATTACATAGTTCTCTCTCTTTGTGCACTCATTGTTAAAATTTTTGCCTATCTGTGTTCATTCCTAGGCTCTGAAACATATGTTTGCAAGTGGGAGAATGATTTCTGTTACAGATGCTACTTCTGAGTTTTCCTACTGCACTTTTGGAGCAGAAACGGGCATTTCTTGCCTACTTTAATGCTGAGGAACACAAACAGCAAGTGTTCCCACTGCAGGGCACAGGAACAGTTGTTCTTCGTTGGATCACTAATGATGCTTCCTGAGGGGTCTTTGGATCTCTTCCCATAAGGATGTTAGTGCTTTCAGTTAACAGCAATCAGGACATGACACATCAGATCTTCTTTACTCTGCTCAAAAAACATCCCTTCCACCTCTTAATATTGAAAAAAAGAATTCTGCCAGGGGTTTTCAAATGTTATAATGTCCATATTATTTTATATTATCCATTTATTACTAGTATACTAGAAAGTATCAAAGATCCTTGAAATGATTTCAATAATATTTAATCAAATTCAAAAGAGACCACATTTGCTAGATAAGAAACTTTTCAGACTATCACTCTTTATTTCCTACTAAAAAGTTATAATTTTGGAAGTCTTTCAAACAAATATGTACTCAATTTTAAAATAAAGCAAAGTATTTCCTAAGAAATATGTGCTACATATCACCATTTTCTATTGGTTTCACATCAATAGAAAGTATATGATAATCTGCATAAGAACAATATACCTAATGACCTTATAAAACTAGTTAAGAAATGTATTTATTTTAAAATTGTAAAAGCTGCCTTCACAACTGTGCTGTTGCTCAATCCTAGACACACATAAAACTTAGCTATTTGGCTAATGAGGCAGGGTAAAAATATAATACTATTCTTTAAGTCTTCATTCCAATAAATAGAGAACTTTGAATACTGTTGAAGAAAAACCACTTATTTGATATAACTTAAGTTCATTAGCTCTGTAATAAGCCTAAATGGATAAGACTTGGACAAATGACACATATCAATAAAAGGGTCTACGGAAAATAATTTAAAAAAAATCTTGACTAGAAATAAGTAAACTAATTTATTTTTTCACAGCTGGGAACTCCTTAACTAACACCAGGCAAGTACAATATTTGTTCTAGAAACATCTGACTTTGTTCCTTAAATAAATACTTTACCCAAAAGTTAGAAAACCACTTTTGATTGGATACACTGAATAATTACTCTCATTACCCAAACTGACCTTGAAACACAGATTTGAATGGGGTAGAGGGAAGCAAGAACTTCACTGTCATTTGAGGTAACAGGAAGTAGTGATACTTGAACCTGCTTATGAGTTTGGAGAAGATAAAGGAATCAAAGGAGGAAGAGATATTGTAAGCTCAGAGAAGATGGCAGTGTTTTCCTCAGTTTTGTGTTGATTGTGGGCTCTCACTCCATCAGTGAAAGGCAGCTCAGGGTTCAGTTTACCTTCCCTAATAAATACACAGACAAATGGGCAATCAAAGATAAGTATCTTCAGATGATTGATTGATTGATAACTTTTTAGATTTATTAGATTTCAAAGATCCATATGTAAAGGGAACTGAAGTGCAATCCATTTTGAATGTGAATTATTTTCCTGCATTGGGGATAGCACATCCCATAAAATGTAATCAAACTGCAGTCATTATGTAGGTATTCCAGAAAAACTGGGGAGGGGCCGGGTAACACTACCTGCCTATGTCATCGTAAATGTTCATTTAACAAATCATTCAAATTATATTACAATCATCACAGTGCTTCGGAATGACCTATCTACGAGAGAAAGAAGCCTACATCTCAAGGTTTCTTCCAAAGTGAGTGCAACACCTGTTCTGTTTCCACACAGTGCCCTATCACCATCCACTTGTTTCAGGCAAACAAATAAACAAAAATCAAATCCTGTATTTAAAGTACCCCAAATGTTAATCTCTGTACTTAGGTATTTCTTCCTCCCCATTTCTCCATTTCATTCCTTAACCATCTGGCACACAGTTCTGACTCTCCCAGCCCCACTGGGGCAGCAACCCTTAGAATGGACCGCTCTGCCAGCCACTCAGACTCTCTTTGCTCAACTGTCACACTAAACCGAAAGGTGTTAACAGCCCCTCCTTGGGCAAGTCCTGCAGCGTCCCAGGTATGCTGCAGCTGCGGGGTGGAAGCTCTCTTACCCCTTTACCTTACTGATTCCTACCCGCGGGAAATCAAGTTGGAAAACTACAAATGATTTCCCATCTATGGTTTCCTCCAACTGACTAATATTTATCCAACCCCCCCCCCCCACCCCATCCTCTCTAGATCCGACCGAGGGGTGGATTCGAGGACTCTACTGACCTTCCAAGGCCGGATTCTAGCCCTTGTCCTATCTCTGACCACCTTAGCAGCTACCCAAGGTGGGAGAGCCTGGATCCAAAGTCCTAAGTGGGCAAACACCGATTTGAACCGCCACCCCTAACCCCAGGGCCTGGGAGCATGCCTCTCAGTAAGGACCACCTGCTCCTCCCAGTACAACGCTTGCTCCCCCAAAGTTAGCCCGGGGGGAGTAGAGGTTGAGGGCGTGAATGGAAAGGGCGATTTTTGAATTCCTGCTCTGTTGTGTCCAAGTAGTGTGGGAAAGGGATTGTCGCCAGCCATTCAGGGCTTTCCAGCCGTTCCGCTGAGAGCAGGCGCTGCCCAAGGTCCGGGTTCCCCTTCCCCACCTGCGCTCCAGCCAAGGAAGCTACGCGCTCTCCCTTGCTCCGCGCAGATGCTTATACTCACCCTGAGCGCTACCCGCAGCAGTCCGGCGAGGGAGAGGTGGTCCCCTCAGGCCCAGGGCACGGATAGGTCACACCCCGCGGCGCCAGCCTTGTCCGGAGGGCAGCGGCGCGTCCGGACTGCTCTCGGGGCCGCGGAGCTGACTGCGCGCTGCCGTTAGGAGCGCAGAGCCGGGCGCCAATAGACACACTAGAGGACGCGAGGGGTTATCCACCACCCATAGTACCCCTCTCTTCTTGCCTTCATTTGTTTCATCAATACCCCTTTCTTTTCTTCTTTCACTTTTTCTCCTTCCAGTCTCCTCTCTCCTCCGTCTCCGCCCTCCGCTTCCACTGATGCGTGGAGAAGGGCGGGGGAGGGAAAAAGTCCCATCCCTTTAACTTGAGTGATACCTTGGAGATTATCTGTTCGTGAAATCTGGAAATGACGTGAATAACCTTTCTGAAAATATCTAAAATAAAACCATTTCGTTTCCTTTAACTTTTCATCTTTATATCTCCCTCTCAGTTGATCATGTGGCTACGGAATAAGGTGAAGGCAGGGAAGGAAAGAGGGAGGGATGCTTTAAGCAGCAATTTTTGGAAGTGCAAGTGCAAACCAGTGGTTAGTTGGGCCCGAGGATCTATTTTCTTTCACAACAAAGGCATTTCCTGAAAAAGAATTGGGGCTGGGGACAAAAGGAGAAGGGAGACAGGCAAGATAATGAAGTCAAGGTATATTCACAGTCTTCTTCATCATCCCCGGTGGTTTTGATGAAGAAACCTTAGAATACATCTCTAGTATTTTGACCTGGATTTGACCTTGAGAGAATATTTGACCTTTCCGGTTCCTGGTCTTAAACTTTTTCCAGATCAATGTTTTTATAGCCCTGTAAACAGTCCTATCAGTCTAATAGGAATTCCCCAAATCTGCTTTGACTGACCCCAGAAACTTGAATACTTCTTGGAAGGTGGCAGTTTTCCAGCAATTAAACAGATCTCCAGTGTTGGGAGAAGTGGGCCAAATTTTTCATACAAACCACCAAACTCTCAGTCCACAGCTGGACCAACCCAAAACCAAGTTTCACCCTCTGGACTGACAGTCCTAGATTCACATTTCCAGAATGGAACTCCTGTCACAGAGACCCTTTCTGCTCTCCCACCTCTTAATAATTCCTCCATCTAAAGACAAATTTATGTAAACCTTTCTTAAAGAACAAACCTGTTTTATCCAGCCCATCTTCTTTCTGTTGGTGATGCCATCTTATTCTCTGACATCATATATTTAAATGAGATACTGTCTATAAACATAATGTTTGGCACTTAGTAAATGTTAGCTGAATCATGGGTAATGACTTCATATTATCATTAGCATTTATTTCACGTTTTCATTCTCTCACATAATTCCTAAACTTCAATTTTCTGTGCCATGATTTGCACAGTTCCAGACCTTGTTCCTTATAAATATATGATAATGTGGTTATGGCTATTTATTTAGGTTGCTACACTGAAAAGAATTCCAGAAGTCAAGATTTATAACATTTGTAATAGGACACAGTAATTTCCCTAAAAGATATGATATTGACCACCTTTATTTTACATTCATATCCTTCTGTAACAATCTTATAGATCGCAGCCACAGAGAAAGTGCAAGGTTACATCAACAAGCAGTGTAAGATATTTTCACCATCTATAGTTTCTGCAACATTATTCCAAACAGCAGGTTGTCCAGAAGAGATGCAGAGATGCTTTAAGGGCATTTGTCTCTATTCTTCTGTTAGTGCAATAGTAACCAACTTGAGATCTGGAGAGTTGAAGACCTCAACTTTAGAATGTTTCCAGATGGAATGTTTGGACTTGTGCCATTTGAGTTAAAAATTTGAAAATACATCTAGGCAATAGATTATATGAAGTGAAAGCATGGAAAAGACCATACATATAGTACAAAAGAGATATAAGGTTTCATATGCTTCTCCTGTTGCTATTGCAGCAAATGACTTTGCTTAGATATCAGTGATGAAATGTACCTTGCATGCTACAGAGGGACCTTGTGCCCTAGAGGTATTGCATTGCTATTCAGTGCACAGATGCTTAACCTAGCAGACAGAACAGTCTTAGCACTCAGCAAGGTTTTCTCTGAGCAACTAGAGGATACCATAGATTGAATACTCTAGACTGATTCTTTAAATATTGGACTACATGGTAGAGGCAGGAATCAGTGAGCAAGAGGTAGGATTCTCAGCTAGTTTTTAAGTTTAAAAAGAATTAATTCATCCAAGACAAGTTCTTTTTGAAAGCTTTGATGAAAAATCCAGAAAGTGTTAGTCTTGTTTATTTTTAATCTTAAATATGCAGAACAAAGGACACATGTATTAATAGGCAAAAGCTCTATTTCTTGAGCTTTTGCCAAAAAAGATTTTATTAAGGACAAATTGCACTGTTTTGGTAATATTGATCTCAATTTAAGACTAGGTTGAAGTTGTCTTGTTTCTTTCAATTAAACTGACTGCACCATTAAGATAGCTGTGAAAGTCAGCTACAATGTGCAAAATTAAAGAAAAAGCTAAGAAATTGTTAAAGGGTAAAATAGAATTAGCACAAATAGTGCAGTCCTAAATAATGTAACCTTTCCCAAAATGGTTAATGTTTTCCTTCAGTTATTTGGTTATCTGAAGATTAGTCTGACTTCCTATACTTCATAAGTAAGATACACTGCCTCATTCCATAGCATCAGAAGGTCATTTTTTAGGAGCAACATTGTAAGTGCATTTTTTTCATTTTGGAGAAAATACTGCAGAGCAAAATGCAAATTCATAATGCAAATAAAAGCAATCAAATAAGCAATCCCTTTCTAAGTTTACTGAAAAAGTATTTTTTGTAATTATTAAAATTGGCTTCATGCATTCATTAAATTTATCAGATAATTGCTTACTTCTCCTTTTGGAAAAAGTCATATAGAAAAATGTAAGAATATTGAATAAATATAATTTAATAATTCCATAATATTTGGAATAAGATGAGATTGGCAAATTGTCTTTATTATAATATTAAGTAAGGTTATTTTCTCATAATATAAAATGGGCTACTTTCTAGAGTGTGTTGTCCTATGTAAAGTACCAACTAAATAATGGGGTTCACAAGTTGGATTTTTTTATATAAATAATGAAAATTTCCATCTTAGTTAAATTTATGAGCTTTTCCCCAGACATGCAATATGATAGCAGAAAGACTGGTGAAAGAGGAGGTTCCAGGTCTGCCACTATGGAACAATCTTTCTTTAGGTAAATTAGGCCAGAGTTAGCTCATCTCTAAAATTAGGAAGGTGAATAGTGAGCAAAATGGACATGAATATCAAAATGATTTCTTATCTGTTGCCACATTGTTCTTTGGCTCCATAGCTGAAATAAAGGTGGCACAGTACATTGCATACTCTGAGTGATATGAGTGGGCAAAAGAGTTGAAGAATATGGAGTGCACTAAAAGAAATAGTTACTAAGTATACCATGAGAGAAAAAATATGAGAGAAAAAAAACAGTTCATTGAAGTCAGTTAAAGTTGATGCTAATGACACTAAATTACTAACATAATCAAACTCTCTTGACTAACAAGCCAAGCTATGGCAAGACAATCAATTTAATATATACTTACCTCTTTGTAATTTTGACACTATTCTTCATTACATAATAATTGTGTTTTAACCTAGAGACATTGTTTATATTAATCTCAATGTTTTTAATACAATTTCATAATTTCTCATTTATGTCATATTTGTTAAGGCAATGAGAAAACAGTTATGTCTCTGCATTCATGAGAAAACTAGCTTAAAAAGGCAGTAAGGAAACTTTCTTAGAATTGAACTAATGTGGCTGGCGCTTAATTTCATCTACTCATTAAACTGTTCAATAAATTAAGAAAGTTATTTAATTTCTTTCAATTTCAGCTTCTTAACATTTAATATGGGAACAAGTCTATTTATATACCTCCACAAGTAACCTGGAACATATTAGAATATAGTGTATTGACATACTTTGGAAAATATTAAACAATAGAAGATAAAAATATGGGATGAAGCTAGCAATGAAGTTGCAACAAAATCACCAGGCTTTGACACTCAATGAGGCATCTTTGAGGCTGCTAATCTTTTCATTAGAATCATGTTGTGTCAAAACAGAGAAAATTTTTAAGTAAAAGTATTTTTTAGAAATGTAATTTGCAACTATTCAGCTTTGGGACAACCAGACAGGGTACTTTGCATGCATTTGTACCATTGAGC